GTGGAGCGGTCCTATGGGAATCCAGTATTTAAGGAGAAAGAAGCAGACCGCAGAGATGACTTTGCTGAATCAAGTAATGTGTTTAGAGGTATGATGGATCATCTGGATATAGCATTCAAAGAAAAGAACCAGGCTATGCGGAGGTTTGTTGAGAGTCAAGCAGAATTTTCCAGATGCCAGGAAAAGACAATTAGACAATGTATAGAAGAAATGAGATGGGTCTTTGAAAAAGGCACTAGGGTGATGCGAGAAACTGGGGACGAAAGTCGCAGACCACTACAGGCTGTTTCAGAACAAGTGGTTGAGCAAGTGCGACAGCCCAGACCTGAGATCCCTCCTCCAATCATTGAGATGCCCAGACAGATTCAGGAAGCCCCAATCCCAACACTCGGGGGGCAAGGGAATCAGCCTCATCCTAATATTCAACAGCAGCATTTTGTCATTGGTGAAGGGCAAAGACAACACCAATTGATGGAGGCTGTTACTCCTGTTGCAGACCATGGCCATCAACCTCAGCATAAGTATATTCTGCCAGCTAGGAAGGGAAATGTGGGTCCTCATCATCAACCTTGTCCAATGGACTTTTTCCAGCCACAAATTCCTCCAGCCCAGCCAGTACGGCGTGGTCTGCAAAATCAACCAGTTCAATTCTTCAATAGAGACCATGGGCCAGCCTTGAGGCCATTGAAAAAGATTGATAAGGACACATTGAGATTTCCAGACAAAGCGAAGGAGACCATGGGAGTGGATGCAGATCCTTTTCCAACTGTGTCTGTGGGCGTGAATGTTGCAGACCTCAGGAGTGTTGCCAGAAATTGCAGTCTGCCTTATGCTCAAAGGAACCTTGCTGCAGAAGACTTAAGGTGGGTTCTTGAGGCGCAGAGATCCAGACAGAGCAGGAGCGTCAGGTCAGACCAACAGAGGCTCGGGGGGCAAGAAAGGATCACTGTGACTAGGAACTTCAATCCAGAAGGTGCCAGACGTTATTCAACTGGTACTAGATCTACAAGGATGGTCAAACCGCCACTCAGGTCACCTTCCAGACGATGGGAGAAAATCAGTCATCCCAAGTTTCCAGCCCAGAACCCCAGAACCTTGAGGCGCAGACTGCAGCGCAAGAGGGCTGAAGAGCGAAAAAGACACCAGAAGCAGGTAGAGGCTGAGGGAAGTTCATCTCGCAGACGACGCCAACCTACCAAAAGGAATATGGTCTGGGTGAGAAAAGAGAAAAAGGAGGCTGTAACTCAGACTCTACAGAAGCAGGATGACCAATCTCCAGCCTCTCCAAAG